TGTGGATATGTGACTTCGGGGTGCCATTTGAGCCTGAAATTCTGGCCACGTCCCGAGTTTGACCTTGAGCTGTGATGAAGTCACATCCACCTCCAAATGTTCAGAACATGAGGCTCTCTGTAACGGGTCTGGACCAGAGCTCTTACTTCAGATGTAGAGCAAGGCTGCATCTGGACCCTGTCTTTGCAGTTAGCAATGTTCATTGTTCAGACAAACAAGCTGTTTCCTTTTATGAATCATCCTGGCAATCCCCAGCCTTCAGTGCTGTGCAGCTGCGTAATGCTCTCAGCAGTGACCAGGACTGAGCAAAGCAAGGGATGCTCAGGCTTTGCACCTTAGCAAAAGCCTGAAGAGAAGGGAGCAGTGGGGGGGAGGAAGGGAAAGTGGGGGTGAGAGGGAAACATGCAGGTGGCAGCCATCTGCTATCAGAAATGAAAGTCGTCATCTTCACAAAGCTTCTCAGTGTTATCTTTTGGGAACAAGTCCATCATTATTTTCATAGTAGAGCTCAGGCTGTCTTCATCACACTCCATTACTTCTCCCTGACAGGGCCTTCTTGACTGCAGCTATGGGGCTGCAGCCCGAAAGGATGTGTTACAACCTTGCTTTGCCTGCAAGATAGTTCACCTGAAACCAACACTGACTTCCATGTCTTGAGTTTTCCAGCTTAAAAAAAAAAGGAATAAAATAAACACCCGCCATACTAACCGTGCTCTTAAGCAGCTGTTGTAATTACAGGGGTTAATTGTTCTTACTATTTTCATCTTTTGTCAGGAAAACTTAGCCAGACTTCAGAGAGCATTTGCAAGAAAGTGGGAATTCATCTTCATGCAAGCTGAGGCCCAAGTGAAGTGAGTAATCCTGGAACACTAAACTGCACCAGTATTTAGAGCTGTGACGGGAAGGGGATTCTGTACAGATAAAACTTCTCTGTCAAAGTCTACTGCAGCTAAGCTCAGAAGGTGTTGGTGAATTTTAATCACCGGCAGACTAGAAACAATAGAGAGCCAATTCTGAAGGTTTGTGCCAGAATCTGAAAGATGGGTTTAATTATCTGTACATGGAAATGTTGTTCGGGAGCTCCTGAGCCTGGATTCACCATGGGAGCTTGGGCAATTCACTTGCCCATTCTGCTTCTACTTTTGTGTAGTATTTTTGTTTTGTATGAATGGAAAGAACAGAACTTTGTCATCTGTCCGTGTTACTCTATGCTTGTAAAGTGTTTCTGAGTTTAAAAATACCACTACTTCAGAGTGATTATAAGGGTGGTATTTACAGCAGTCTGGATTTGGTTTTCTCATTTATACCAATCCCCAGTTGACTCCATTGTACCTCTACTCTCTGCAGTCTGACTTGTGCTACTAAATTAGTGTGGAGAATTGAGTACCACTTACATGAAACTTACTCAGATTGAGTATTTGGGTTTTTCCTATCTGCTCATAATTGAAATCTACTTTTTTTTTTTTCTCATCTTCCCTTGCGAAAACAGTTTGAAGCCTCTCAATGTTTTGAGCATGTTTTCATTATTGCTGCAAAATGGGTATGGTCCAGGGTTTGTGGACTAGTGTCTACAAACTAGCGCCTAAAACCCTCCGTGACTGTTTTGTGCACGTAGTTGTCACCTATAAAATGGAAGGGACGGTGAAGATGGCACATGAGAACACTAGTAGTGACACTCTGTATCACTTGAAGGAATTTGCACTTTCAGCATTAGATGCTAAAAAGTTAAGGAACATCATTTCTTGAGGGTGTGGCTGAGGTATATGTCTCTTATCTTTGATTAACTCTTTGGAATTTTGATTAATTCTTTGCTTAATAACATTGTAATTATGCACTATTTAAGTACATGGTAGTTATCCTTTAATTTACAAGGTAATTAAGGGATTTTTTCCGACGAGAATACCAGTGTTCTGTTTGGAAGAGAAAATTAGAAGTTAAGACAGCAATTGTACTTTCAGTTACTTAAAGGTTTATTGCCAAGATTAAAAAAAACAAATCTAAGTCAAAACAAAATTCTGCATTCTGTCTACAACACACAATTATTACCTAAGAAATGTAAATATCAGATTCTTGATGTGATCACTGTTGCTTATTCATCTTTTCTCCATTCAGTTTTCTTTGAAACGTAAGCGTGGACTGGCCACTATCAACTTTTTTTGCTGGCTAGTTTCAGCTTCTTGGTTCCCAGTTCATGTGATGGTTCAGTGTTCAGGTTTCCAACAAGGCAGGGCTGGAATTCACAGTGTAATTCACAGCCCTCAATTAACTAAAAAAGAAGACAAACCAAAAATATCTGAAAACATTCCTCCTGCTTATCAAGTTCTGCTCTGCCTTCCACATCTTTGCACACAGGATTTCCATTGCTGTACCTACATTGCTCAAAAACTGCAGCCAGAGAGCATCTAATTGTATAGTGTCTTCATAGTTTAAAATGTGAAATACTGAGTTATCAGTAAGTTTGGGGATATGAACCAAGAACCTCGG